TTTAAAGCTAGACTGGAAATGAAAGGCACAGTAAATGATGTCAGTTGCCTCCAGACTAGAACTTAGCAAGAATCTTCCTTCTAGTTCTGAGCTGTCTGACCCACCACTAAAATTAGAGACAGGTTCGGTTCCAAGGGCTCTAATAAGACAGAATCCCTGCAAGAAATTCCAAGGGCTTGTTTTGGACCTATTCATAACAACTATTTGATCAACATCAGGCAAAGCAGGAATATATACCCTGTCTGTGTCCATTTGCTCAGTGGTCACCTAAAAGGAAAAACAGTCATTGTCATTTTATATCCCCTGAGTCACTAATCTACTGAGTCTGCTTTGCAACTACATTCTAAGTGCATTAGTGCCTTAATTCAGCACATGATTAACCCGAAGGAGAAGTGTAGTTCCATAGCCATCAACTGTTTAAGTTTAAGCATGTTGTTAAAAACCATGCTTAATTGAAGCCAAAGTTTTTCTATAAACCATAATAAAAATAACCCTACAATAATCTAGTGGGGAGGAAGCAATACATAATAATATCATCTTACAGATTGGTTAAAAGACATACAGAATCATTAAGGTAAACTTTTTCTACTATGGATGCTTTAGCCTGATGTTTAGACCTGCTGATGATCTCTGGTAGCTTTTATTGACTTGTGTGAACACAGGAACAAGGCAGTTATCAGACTAACAAGACATCTATTCCATTATCTCCCACGTTGGCCAGGACCAACTGTTTCTCAGGAAAATGTAAGAGTCACTATAATGAATAATTATAGAATAACCTTACCCAGAGGAGACGTTTTATCCTAGCTGTCTTCAGTTAATGGCTGACTTCAACCGCAAAGCATAATGGTTTCTCTTTCCCGTAGTTTAAATCCAATTTAATGTCATACTGGACATTCCTATTCTCCATGTAAATAACTAATCCTTCTTGGCCAGGTGCAAACATTTAAAAAGCCCAAGGCAGAATCAGTCTAAATTGCACAGTTTTCTGTAAGTGGCATAGTTTAGCTCAGCAATGGACAGAACACACCCCTTGGTAGGGAGCAAGCCTTAGACCAGGTTCCATCATTTTTTACAAAGTCTCCGTGTGCTGAATTTCTGTTCTGTTATGGATATACGTTGATTTCTGATCACTTATACCAGTAAAAGTGTAATGTCTGTACCTGGCCTTTGGCTTCGTTGATATCCTGCACACAAGCTAACAATATATTTTATTTTACCAATATTAAATGCCTTTGTTGCCTGTTACATTCATTTTATTTCCCGGTGCAACTGAGAAAATGTAACTGTAAGCATCCAGTTCACCTTCTTGTTATCATTCATTATTTTACAAAATTCTTTCATTTCCTCTTAATAGCATGCTTTCCATGCTACACAGTCTAAATCATTTAAATCTTCTTTCATATGCTGGCCTTCCATATGCTTCTAATCATTTTAGCTATCTTCCTCTGTATTCCTTCCTCTTTCTGCTGTGTTATTTTGAAATGCTAACCAGAAATGACCACTGTGTTGGAAGTGGGGCTATGGTATATTTTTTGTATTATTTTCTGCCTCTTCCTTTACACATCCTCATCCTTGGCTTGCTTTCTATCTAAATCTCTGCTCTGTATTAAGCTGATTTTTTACTGTCCTACTTGGGACTTTTCCCTGAGTATTACAGTTAGTTTAAAAACCAAATAATACCTTAGTACTTTAGGTGCATACTGTCTTACATTTGCTAACAGCATGTCCATTGAACCTGAACCCTAACCCTGTTTGTACAATTTGACCTAAGCCCCACATCTGTTCAGTCAGTCCATTGTATTTCTAAGTGTCATGCATCTGATTGGCAGAATGAAATGTCAAGAGCCATATAATTCTGCACACAAATTAGAAACAACACCATTATGGCACTTATATAACCTATCAAGATAGTACAACAACCCTCACTGGTTTCTCTAGTTACTTCTTTCTACGGATTCGAACTCAACTTTCTCATTATGCAAATCGCAGAACTTTAAGACAAGTTTCCAAAATGCGTGATCCTTGTCAAAGCTGATGTTCACATTGATTTTCTATTATTCATAGTGAAAAGTATGTTTCACAATATTTACCCTCCCTGATGTCAAGTAACTCAGGGTTTTGCAAATTATGCCTTCTTTTAAGTTTCAGTGGGGCCTTTCCTGTCACGTATGTAATGAGAAACTGCAAAAAAAAATCTGAAGTGAATTTGACAGTGTCGTTTTTCCTTGTAGTATTTTAATGCTTTTGCCCATGGTACAATTTATTCTTTCTTGAGAATCCTGAGCCACGCTTGGGGCTTGTGATGCACTACCTTCCCTCTCCAACTTTACCTATTTCTGTCCCGCCTCTGCCACTGGTGTGGCCACACAGGAGTGCCTTATGCACCTCGTGCTCAGGAATGCCTGCCCTTGCCTTGCCCCATGCTTCTCCCAGAAACAGGGGCATTCAGGACAGTTCCATTGGTCCTGTGCGCCTTTGTTTCCATGAGTTGCCTTGCAGGGTCAGACTGGGAAGGGCTGTGGCAAAAGCAGGTGCTTCTGCCTACTTTAGGTTTATCGGCTAAATCTAATGCAGGCCAGAGCATGTGCATACTGCAGTCCTTCCCAGTTTGGCCATTCATGAGATATACAGGGCTCTTTTACCTGGCAGTGGAATTTGTGGCAGTGGCAGCACCTGACTGAGAATCACTGAGGTAAACTGAGGCAGTGAAACAGCAGTTCTCAACTGAGGTGCTGCCAAATTCAAACAAGTTGTAGAGGGCTGCTCTGAATCTGAAAAGACTAAGAATCACAGCAGTAGTTATTTCAGTAGTTCAGGGCCTAGTGAATTGCCATGCCTGTCTTCCTTATAGCATGGCTTCTGCCCAGTGCTGATGCTTGTTCTGACACTGAGAATAATTTTCTGGCAACCAAGGGAACCTCTGATGCCCCTGTGGCCTCTTCTCCTGTTGTGTCTCAGCAGTTCAGAGTAGGCAGAACTAAAGCTATGGTTCAAACCCATTGTTTTTACTTAGTGCCCTGAATTTCAAGGGAAAGAGTTAATGGAAAAATGGTGATGAGATGCGAAAGACCCAGAGAAGTTTGAGTCATAATGGCTAAGTAAGCCAATCAAAAAGCCTGAGGCTGAATTGATTCAATCTTGGTAGGTTAGTCTAAACTGCATAGGTTGAACTGATAAACAAGTGAACAGACATTCACTTTTGATTCCAGAAATGCAGCAATATGCTTGCAGTGACCCAGGCTAGAGCATGGCTCCCTGCTACTTGACTGGGGCAGACAGCTTGGGCTAAGGCTTGCCTGTTCACCCTGCAAGGAGGGGTTTGCAGGGGAGGTGCAAAGTATCCAGGGATGCTGGGGAACTGTGAGCTAAACTGACACCAGAAGGAAACTGGGAAAGAAATTCAATGAACCAATTTAACCTAAATCAGTTAAATCTAATACTTCATCCATCCAGGTTTATCTTGAACTGATTTTGGCTATTTTGAAAACATTTTTTGTGCACTGAATTTCTATTGTGTTACAGATTTGAGCTGGTTTCCAATCACTTGTACCAGTGTATGTGTAATGTCTATCCCTAGCAAAATGGCAATAATCAATTCAATTACAATTCTCCTTTATCTGCAAATGCTACATTCAGGTGATTTAAATACCTTATTATGGAAGGATATTATTTAGATCATAGCTCTTCATATTTTCCAGCTCAGCCACAGGATTTGGGGTGTGATGTAAGGATTATATCAGGAATTAAGATCTGTGTCATGCAGGAAGATCACATTATTAATTCACAGCAAAAATTAATTCCATAAATCAACCATATTTAATTATTGATGCAGCACAACACATTTTTATATTATTTCCTATTGGCTTCTCCTTTCTTTTAGTACATACCTGCATTCTAATTTGCAACTATTAAAAAGCGTTTCCCCATTTCTAGCAGTGGTTAATAAAATCAAAGGCAGTCAGCAGGTAACTGGCAAAAATGTCACTATACTTTTTCTGTGATATAGCTTGGGCAGGATGTTTTATTGTCATTCAAGCAATGCTGTTACTTGTTATAAGACTGATTTTCATATAGCATAACATATATGATACATAATAGTACATTCTACAGGAAGTATACAGCAGAGGCATTTTATAGCAAGACAGCAATCTAGGGAGTTTAGCCATCAAATAGTACTGACCACTGACGTGCAAATATTGTGCACCAGTGATTTGAAGGTAGAGGATATTTCTATAACTCATTTTCAGTTCCCTGAGTCAGCCAGTGTACAACGTCAAAAGGATTTTTTTTCACCATGTTGCTTCAGCTCCCAAGTGATCAGTCAGGGCCATCATGGTGCCTTTCAGGCAGTATGGCAGCTTGAGGAGCCTGACAGTTTTAATGGGTGCTCTTATCTTTCTCAAGTATGTCTGCAGCAATGTGTTATTCACTTGATATTTGAAGTGGAAAGGACTGATCTACAAAGTCAGTTAAGAGCTCTGTACAAAACTGAATTTTTTAAACTGACAGCGGTAGAAACAGAAACTCAGACTTCCCAGGAATGATGTGTCATGTGACTAATGATGGGACAATTGGAATTATGAGGATTGTGACGCTATTAAATATAGGAATTGTTGGGACTACTCATACTGCTTAATGCTAACCAGTTGAGTGAATTTTAATCATATATGTATGGTAGTAGGCATACCGAATCACAAGAAAAATAAGCTATTCACTATGTCACAATATAGAGGCATATAATACATAATATTCTATCTCAAAAATAAAGTTTTGTGAATCTAGTAATGTATATGTTTTAAGGCAGGAACATAATCGTAGGATGGGGGGTGACTTCTTGCAAACATAATAATAGTGGTCAAATGACAGTCTTGGTCAGCTTTTTGTGTACTCTTCTACTTTGTTATATTTTTCATGAATTATTATGAAGGGATAAATGTTTTGTGTAATGATGTATATTTTCTGTGGGGAAAAAAATGCCCTTTTTATTTTGATTTCAGTGATAAAATGTTCCCAGCCTTTGGCTTCGGAGCAAGGATACCACCGGAATATAAAGTAGGTGCACAGGTGAATTTTTCCAATTTATTTGATTTATATGCTACAGTTTATAACTAAACAGAAATGGTTCGTTCATTTTTTACCTCCTCCTGCATACTGTAACAAAACAGTTCCCTCCACACTCTAACAATACTGAGAGCTAAGGGGGGATAATTAAATATTTTATTTCTCTAGGATGGCCTGCCGTTAGAAACGT